AAAAAAAAAAACTCACTGAAGCAAAATGGTTGACATCACGGTGGTGCGCCTCATCTGCACGGATAACCTCAATCACATCCTTGAGCTTTGCATCCTTAGGCAGCCTCCAGTAGTCGATGGCAATAGCAGGGGCTGGAACATTCTCGATGGCACCACTGTCAATGTACTTGAGGTACTCCGTGTAAGAGTGTATGGCCTCCTCCTCCAGATAGCCAACAACCCTGTGGGCCAGCTTGGGGGACATGAGGTAGAGCACAAAGAAGGCATTGAAGAAGACTCCCTGCACGGTGAGGACGAGCAGCCTTTCATACCATCTGGGCTGAACAAGCTCAACCATAGTCATCAGGTGCATCCGCTCATTCTCAGCCTCCTCCAGCAGCGCCTTTATCCAGCCCCCACTCTGCTGGAACTTGCGCAGGGACCGGAGGTGCAGCAGCATCCCCCCCACCATTCCCGGAACTGCTGCCACCGTCTCCAGCATCATTGCACGGCACCCGTAACGCCTCTGTGGCACACGCACATATATTTGCATTTTCCAAGAAAACCAACCACCCAAAAAAAAAGATGAATAGTTCCAAAGTTGATTGATTGGACGAATTTGCAGTGCTTATTTTCCATTTATTAAGAAAGAACTACTATAATTATCAGTTAGACAGATTGAGAAAGATGAAGATAGGATGTTTCACATTTGAGCCAAGGAGAGTATGTTCTTTCCATCACCAACATGCAGCAGAGACAATGAAAGCTTTTTTTTTTTTTTGAAAGCTAGCAATCAAAGTTTGATTTGGAACATTTATGATAAAAAACTGAATGTAATAATCTCGCCATTATGCACCACCAGCTGAATTTTGAATGTAAGTTACATTATTTGTGATGTTAGCTTTAGCAGAACTACAACATTCATTTTTTGAATATATATATGGAACGAGGGCACAACAAACTCAAATGTAAGTGTAAGTGGTTCCTGACAAGTGACGACTAGGTGACAAGGTACGTTTCCAAACACCACCATAATTCATAATCTCTGATGACAAATGATAATGCAGCAGCTTATAGTGTACAAGAACAAAATCTTAAAGAATTTGTAAGTTCTACGGTATTTTATCAGAGAAAATAAACAAGATGTAGATGTATGCTACTCAGATAATCAAGCTAATAATGAAAATTCAAAGCCAGATACTACTAAGTACAGTACACATATTCCAAGAGATATTGCATTAGAGCGAAATCTCCTGGCACATTAGAAACAAGCTAAAGGTGGAGATGAGAATCATAACATACCCGAAAAAACAGATCGGTCGGAATTCTAAGCAGTTTCACAGTCCGATATGCCACTTTGTCAATTAATGTCTTTGGAACATGGTGCTTGTTCAGATCAATTGACATGTCTGCCCGGTATGTTTCCCATGGCTGTAAAATAGAAAACAAAAGATCGCTACTAGATTAGGTCGCCACACGAGTATTCTTATATTGTTATTTTACTATATTTAAGTTGTTTTCTGGCAACTGTATTGACATTTTGAACCAATATCAAACCTGTAGAAGCTACTCTGATCAATTCATAACAGGTACAATAGCAAGTTGATGTGAAGTTTGACTTACTGGAATCCAACCCAATATGTGAGGATTTGATATAGTAAACAATTTTAGTTCCTAGTTTCAGAACCATATCCACTATTAAGATATCACAGTCATCCTTAGCTATTCATGCTGCTGCATGTAAAATATGGTTAAAGCATATTGATTAAATGTATTCAAATTGAGCGTTCTTATAGCATAGGGCTACTGATTTAAACCTAAAATTTGATAAAATCTCGATCTCGGAATTGCCTTTGCAGAAGGTTTCAGACAAATTAAGTAATATCATAAAATGACTCAAATCCTTATCTGAGCCTAATCCTAGATGTTCTTCCAATACCATACGCAGTCAAATTTCAAAATATTGTACAATAATATTAGTAACGGTCTCTGAATTTCGTTTCTTCACAAGGTTGACACATTAATGTTGAATTGATGAAATGGTATATCTGTATAGATAAATTATATTATGGTGACACATTCTTTTAAATAGGAAGTAATGTTTCTAATATTATGAATGTAAATTTGAAATAGGCCTAGTAAGGATGCCCAGATCCTGACAAGTTGATCATGGGAAGAAAAGGAAGGAAAAAGAAAGAGAGTATCCAACTTTCCAAATGCCAAAAGTGACAATGTTCTTGCCAACAATTTCATGTATTTTACATTCTATATTTTCGAAAATTAAAAATTTAAAATAAAAATAAACCAATAAACCCATGCCCTTGTATGAGTCAACCCTAAACTAGACAATTTCATAGCTAACACAGCTAATTGAGAGACAAGACGGCAAAATAATTTGGCAATCAAAGTCCAGACACAGTTTGTACTCATTAGACATATGAATCAGACTACGTGCTACTCCGAAAAAATTAGATCAACGCACGGAAAAACTCCAGGTTCGACTCAGAGCATAAATCTAAGTTGAGATAATAGCAGCTAACAAGTTCAATCAAATCTACTTTGAAAGCAACCGTCGGACTGTTCTATATCAGCAGTATATTTTCGTTCCTCGACACAAATCAAATATCACCAAAGCCAAACACACATTTCTGAAAACAATATATGGTAACAGGGATATAAGAACACATCACCATGAAACAGTTCCAAGGCCAATCTGTGCCGTCCTCTCTGGTGATTTTAGGCTTTGAAATTCCCCAGTAGCTCGACACCACCAAGCCGCCTTTCTCCGGCACCGCGACGTTGCTCTTGTCTTCCTTCTCCACCACCGCCGAGGTAGAAGAACGCTCCGCCTCGGTGCTCATCATCCGCCTCCACCCGATCAGAACCATGCGTGACCCCCGCGGATGCACCCCAGTCAACGCGCCAAAAGGCGTCGGCGCGCGGATCACCGCCGCCGAGGATGACGAGAAGTGGCGGCGGCAGCTACCGCCGGCTACCACACGCTTCATCACTGATCTTGCCAGCAAGGGGTTCATTTTCGTCGCTGTGGTAACACAAAATACTGAAAACAGAGGAGTTCAATAGGCCTGCTTCAAAATATACTGGAGAAGGAGTGATTGAGTGTTGGTGGTTCTCCTGGACCAGAAACTTGTAGAAGGTTAGTAAAGGTTCCTTAGATGACGTGTCGATGTATTACTGGTTGGTCTATGTGCTCGCGGTTGGATTGACGGACATAAATGACCTTCCGTATTTCACGAACGTTTGCCCAATATGAGAGGTTACTTTTCTTTTGCTCCAAGCTTACTGGAAAGGTGGACACTGTGAGCGGGTGTAGGGAAGCCAACATGAGGTCGACGTTTTCTGTTTACGCGTGGCTAATGATTGATTGATACCACTTCGTGGCAGTTGTGGGTCAAATGGGCCGGGTAGGGCCGCCGATGCCATAATTTTTTTTTTTTTAAAATAAATTATCTGCTTGTAACTTTGTATATAAAATAAAGTAAATTGGCTATTCAGCGCCCTCTATTACTAGGTACCAATCTCTTTTTACAAATTTGCCCTTAATCTATTTTCCTCTTACTTCTCTCTGTCTCTCTAATTCTCGATTTCAATGAGTCATTTGAGCTTCAAAAATATGGGTGAGGGGCGCCTGCGGTGACCGCACTTACGGTGCCCCCTCCCTCACCCTTGGATCATGTTAAGTAACATGATCCAAGGGTGAGGGAGGGGGCACCGTAAGTGCTGTTTAAAAATGCACCGTAGGTGCCCCTCATCCCAAAAATATCCCCAAAAAATATCGAAAAAATCCTACAATCTCGGTAAAGCATTCTTCAGTAGCAGGATATTTTTTTTCTTTTAAATAATTTATTCTGATCGGGACTACCGGATGCGGTTGGGTCGTCCGATCCGTGACTGGGGACGGCCCAAAGGGCGACCGGTCGCCCACCGAAGGTGTCCGACATCTATCGGCCGAACGCCGCCGCTAATGCTTGTTTTCTGGGGCCGGACGGACCAAAAACGGCCGGCGAGACAATTTTTTTTATTTATTGTAATAATAATTATAATTTATAATTATTATAATTGAAAACAAAAAAATATTATATAAATAAAAAAATTATATTAATTAATTAATTTGATAAAAAAATTATAAATTATCAAAAAAATAATAAAAACTAAATATTATAAAATCAATTAATTACTATTATAATAGTTATTACAATAATTATTAAATTTGAATTAATACTAATTATTATAATTAATTTCAAATATTATTATAATTCATTTAATTATTTCTTATCATTAATTTAAAATTTGATTTAGAAATTTAATTAAAAGATATATTAAAATATATATTAATAATTAGTTGTATTAAAAAATTTATATAACTATTTTGAAAGCAATATATTGAAAAAATATAAATATATAATTTATAAAAGACATATGTATATATATATATATATATGTGTGTGTGTGTGTGTGTGTGTGAGTGTGTGTGTGTGTGTGTGTAACAAAACAATATATTAAAAAAAGTGTGTGTGTGTGTGTAACAAATGATATATTAAAAAATATATATAACTTATTATAACTATTTTGAAAGTAACATATATATATATATATATATATTTAATTTTTTTTTAAAAAAAATACTAATTATTACTTTAAACTGTTAATTTAGGGTCTTCGTTGACCTGGACAATCTGCCAGGGACAAAGACGTGGTCAATGAGTATTATGAAGGTTCTAGACCCCGACACACTAGAAGTCGGAATGTAGATGCGTCCGTTCGTCGGGAACGGCAGGCGGCGATCGAAAAGGCTCGGAGGATACAGACTGGGCAGACTGGCCAGGTAGGCAGCTCGAGACTCCCCGCACCAGTACCAGTTGGTCAGCAGGGATATTTGTTTGATCATCAGGCTGGCCAGCCAGGCAGCTCGAGACTCCTCGGACCAGTTCCGCACGATCAGCAAGGATATTATTTTGTTGGCCTGGCAGGCAGTTCGATACCCTCCACATCAGTACCATACGGTTAGTAGGGATATTATCTTCATGAATCGGTACCCAAGAGGGATCAGCCTTCATATGAGTCTGACGAGTACGACTCTTCATATGATCACGACGTTATTCCTTCTTCTCTCTCCCCACCACAGCCTCTTGCACGACCCGCATGACCTACGGGTCCTGCACGGCCTGCTCCTCCACGACAATTTGGGTGGCGTTTTGCTGGCACTGGATCCTTATGTTTATAATTTACGTATTTGTTGTTGTTTAACATTAAATATTTTGACTTAATAATAAATTGTCGGTACTGTTTGTGACATTATGTCATATATATATATATATATATATATATATATATATATGTTCTACTATAATGCAGGTACTAGAAAATAATCTAGGACTGAACATGAGGCAACCTGGATCGTTAGAGGTCCAGTGCCCGATGTGCCCATTGATGGGAGTGTCATCCCTAGCTTTTTAGGGCATGTAGCCTCCTGAATGTGGACTGGAGAGCCTAAAGGCGTACTGAAATGCCAGAACAGCCAGTGAGTGTTGTTGTTAGTATTTTTACCGGAGTTAAATCGAAATATTTGAACACCGGGTCATATCGCAAGGAAGGTTAGTCGGATTATTCATACGAATATTCAATCACAAGAAAAGAGAAAAGGAAATCCTAAACATTCTAATTCAAGATTTTTTGTTTGATTTATCAACTATGAATTATGAAAATAAGGCAAGCTATTCCAAACTCACAGCTCAAAACACAATTTCAAATAGTAATAAAGGGACTAGGGTGTCGGGGACAATTGTTTCTAGTTCTAAATATATTTAACGGGCAATCAACTACTCAGCTAACGGATTTAAGAACTAATTCATCTAGAGATTTATTCTCAATAACTCACGAAACACGAGAATAAACATAAACAAACTATTATCGAATTATTTAGCACATAGACAATATATTTCCGAACAAGTTTATTCTAAACGAGTCGAGATCGATCGATTTCTCCCCTTTCGGTTCTAAAATCAATTAAGTGCATTAAGATAGTGATCAATCATCCAAACCTAGGTTTAACATAACTCGTATAGATTGAGCAATCAACATTCACACAAACAAAATTGAACCGGAACAATTATCCCCTAATCCTAGTTAACGAATTTAGCTACTCATCATAAACTCAACATCCATATTCTCATCAAACAAAGCCATAACATTCATCAGTGAAAATGAAAAGAAAAGCTTACGATTAATGCGAATTCAATGTTAAATCCCGATAGCAATCCAAATCCGGAAGATAAAAGAAATTTTTCACTATCCAAAATCAAATCTAAGCAAAACCAAAGTGAAAATATGTTTTATGAATGAATAAAAACGAAAATAAACAAGTCTAGAATAATGAAAAATATGCCCTAGGTTCGAACTAATAACTTCCAATTCGAAAATCCAAAAAAACCGCAACTATTACGAAATAGGGGTAGCGGCGCTAAGGGGTTAGCTTCGCTATGGGTGCAGAAGGCCGAGCTGTTGGGGGTCGCTATGTTGTGCAGCGCCGCTAGCTGGATTGGCCTTAGCGGCGCTATGGCCTAGGCAGCTTCCAAAATTCCGATGTTTTGGACTCGTGAGCTCTGGTCTAGCATTTCTTGGGTACTGCCCGAGCTATTAACTCAATCTCAGTGTGCTTAAGTCGTATGAACCAGTGTGGAACTCTTAGGAACTGGAACCGAATGCCGCTATCATCATCTGAAACCTGAAAACCATCATAACCGAACAAACACAAAAGACAAGAAAAATAGGAAAGAAAACACAGAAAATACTAAACACACCAAAATAATACTAAAACACGATAAACGACTAGAAGGACCGGAAAATCCTAAGAAAATACCTAAAAACGGGGGAAACGATACACAAAATACTGAAGAAAATGACCACAAAAATGGGACAAACAAGTGCTGGACAATCTGAAGAATTGGCGTGGTGATATGTCTTCCGATGCACAAGATCTGATCAGAAAGACCGGTCTGTCACATTTGGTACACTCCATGCGTAGATACTTGGACACTCTACTGCTTTCTGCATTTGTGGAGCGATGGCTGTCGGATACTAACACGTTTCACATGTCTTTTGGTGAAATGAGCATCATGTTGCATGACATCCGGGAGCCATGGTCGATGAGGACCCGGATACAGACGCATGTCAAGCGTATTGTATGGAGATACTTTCGCACATGAAGACTGACTTAATTGAGTTGTTCTGGCAGCGTGGTTCGGTGACCGAAGCCTCCGTTGTGGACACATTCAGGGGGAAAGGCCGATTGGCTTTGCATGAGGCTGCTGTCTGGATGTCGATGTTGTTGTCTACCACCTTGTTCGTTGACAAGAGTGGTAGTGGGGTGTAACGCCCCACTTTGATTAAACAAAAATCCATGACCTTTCAGAAAAATCAATATAATTTGCAAAACTTCATTTCAAACGTTTGTGGCGCCACTCATTTATTCCCAAATCATTTACATAAATTAAGTCATAACAATGACAACATAACATAAATCAACACCCTATCGAGGGTTCTATCCAAAGTCATCAATCACCCAAAACTTCAAATTTCCAAGGTAAGACATCACAATGTCAAAAAGGGGCATCTCCCCAACAATGTTTCAGAACATCAAATTATCAAGAGTTTCTAAATTCCCAAAGTCATAAATAAAACTCAAATAAGTGGAAGCAACAAAATCAATCGTCTAGTCATCTAGACCGACCACCACTTGTCTCGCCTCGTCGTGCCCGCAACCTAATTAACCTACATCGGGGGGGGNNNNGACATGGGGGTGAACACAAATATCAACTTGCTCACCACTATGCACATAAATAACAAATAATATAGGACTGGTACGGTCGCAGCATGTATACGAATCAATCAACTATCCCATCTCCTATTCAAAGTCATAAATAGTCTCATGTGCACACCTATATCAATAGACTACTGTTGGTACACGATTCAAATGCCAAGGCCCTTACCTTGGTCTTACAATGATGCCCAAATA